ACAATTAAGCATATAGAAGGCTTTACAATACTACCCAATACATATCATTAGCTATTAAGAGTTTACTATGAAATAGCATAAACCATAACCTACCTCCACCGAAGAATCGTGATCAAGAAATCTACTTCTCCAATGCTTTGCTTTCCTCTTCGTTTCTCCCTCTCTCGTTCGTTCTCCCCTCTTCTCTCTGTTCTTTCTATTTTTCCTTATTTAAACTCTTTTTCTTTTACCCTAATTACCATATAATAAAGTATAAAAGATGGTAAAAGTAACCCACTATTTATTTCAAGGTTATCTCCTTTAACCCCCAAGTAATTGAATTATTAACATTAAACCACTTACTTTATAATCATAAGCAGGAATAGTCCAAAACACCCCTTAAAAACTTTTAACAGAAATCTAACCCAGTCAGGGTTACACAGCCTGTGAAGGCCCGTCGTGCCTGCGACGGTCCATACTGCTGAGTCGTCACAGAGTTCAGAGACTCAAATTCATTAAAGAGTCTGTGACGGTCCGTCTTGCGTTCGACGGTCCGTTCTGCTCTTCTGTCACGAAGTTCAGAGAGTTGTTGTCTGTACCCAATTTTCCAGATTCTAAGTGTTTTGGAACGAGACCCCCTCGACGGTCCGTCTTGCCCATGATGGTCCGTCGTGGCATCCGTCGACCCAGACAGTTATTACCAGAAATAAACTCTACTGCTCAAAACGACTAAACAAGTCATTACAGATATATTCTTGATTAACGAAAAAAAACTTCTTTAAAAAATTGTAAATTTTTTTCTTGAAAAGTGACTTACCCATTTTAAGTAGAATACAATCTAATGTTCACAAAAATGAGAGAGTCACTACCGGAGATGAGGAGAAATATAAGATAATGGGGAAGAATATTTGTTTTGATAGTCCGATTTTCAGATTTTCTAAGGAAAAAGAAGAAAAGAGTAAACATTGGGAGAAAAAGGAGAGAATTTCATTTTCTTTTACTTTATTAAAAATGTTTTGGATAAAATTATAAAATTTAAAAATAAAGTATTTTTTTGTATTTTAAAAAAGATTAGAAAGTTTTTAAAATGTTAATTTGGTTCTACATTTAGTTAATTACTAAAGTGAGTCTGACCCATTCTTGGTCAAAAGTGTCAACAAAAACCAAAGCAATACTTAATTTACACCTTTCATTTAATTGTCTCCCCTAACTTAATCACTAAGAGATAGCTTAAATAGAAAATGGAAAATCACCTATACTACAATACAACAATTCAAAATCAAGGGCTAAAATCACTAGATAATAAAATATCTTTATATGAAATCTTATACATACTTTAATGAATTTTAGACTGTGCAAAATATCAACAACAAATATTAACAAACGTAACGAATAAAATGAATACAAAAGAATATTATGAACGCAATTAATGACATGTAAAAAGTGCAATGTAACAGAAATAATGATTCAATCGAAACAAATAAATATTCGAACATATTCAACCGGTTGTGAAAAAAATAATATAATTAAATTAACTCATAAAAAACCTGAAATCTTGACAAATAAGGAAAATTTTGATTAACCTACTTAAAATGATGACAAATGTATTTTGACATATTGAATAGAAAAAAATCAAAAGTTACGAATTTTGAAAATGTTAGACCACAATTAGGTGTCAACTGTCCTTTACTTTAGAAAGAAGTATTAGAGTTGAATTATTAGTTGATAATAGTATTGATTGCATTATTAAGAACCTAGGTTGAGAAAGTAGGTTTGATTGCATTCTTACAAATTCAACTTGAAAAAGTGAACTAGTTAAGAAATTAAGATGTTTGTTTGTGTTCACTTGTTGAGGTTCTAAGAAACTCACTTGTTTCACAATAGTTTAGTGAGAATTTACCTTTGCACTCAAAACCTAGCCTACCCATCGAGATTCAATACATTTGAGTAACTAGTACTCACTCATTACATGAAATTGGCATTCAACTTATCACACACCCAAGGATCTGTGTCTATTTGTTTACTTCGCGTTTTAGTTGTCCTAAATTGGTTATCGAAATCTCCCCATATTAATCATTAAATCTTTGTGATTTACTGTAATGTTGTGAAACACCTACTACTACAAACGATTAGGACACATTTTTACTTCTCAATCAAATTCTCTATTGTATTACTTCATGTGGGATCGACCCCAACTCTTAGTTGGGTTTATACTTGTTAGAGACCCCCTTTCCTTAAGATTGAATGAATTGTAGTTGAGGGTTGGCACCGCAGTCTGCGAGTGACATTTAGAATTCTTTTATTGAAGTTTAGTTGTGAACTGATTTTGTTGTCGTTGAGTCATCTTATTTGTGTTGTTTGTTTGGCATCTCTAAAATAGGTGAGGAGATGATTTTCAATCGGAATAATGCCGACCAACTTGGGAACAACGATGACATCATAAATTTGCATAATGTCAATGATAATCTGTTTGAAAATGCAGGTGTTATTCGATAGCATCCTATTGTGGGTAATGCGGTGTTTAAAGTGACTAGCATAGAGTGTAGCTGTTACAAAACCTCATGACCACATCCAAAACTTCATGTATGTGTATGAGCCATTCTCTTTCAAGAACATCAACCAAGAGTCAGTCCGACTTCATTTGTTTCCCTTTTCTCTAATGGGGGAAGCAACAAAGTGGTTGACCCAACACGTACGCAGAACCTGTCACCACCACCACCACCACAACCACCACCACCACCACCATCATCATCATCATCATCATCATCATCTTCATTATCATCGTCATAATCATCATCATCATCATCATCATCTTCATTATCATCGTCATAATCATCATCATCATCATCAATCAATCATCATCATTATCAACAACAACAAAACAATAATAATAATCATCATCATCGTCATCATATCGTCATTATCATCGTCATTGTCATCATCATCATCATCGTCATCGTCATCGTTATCGTCATCGTCATCATCAATGTCATCATCATCATCATCATAATCATCATCATTGTTATTGTCATTGTCATTGTAATCGCCATCGTGATCGCGATCGTCATCATCATCATCATTGTTATCATCATCATCATCATCATCGTCATCGTCGTAATCATAATCATCATCAGCAGCAGCAGCATCATCAATCATCATCATCATCATCATCATAAACAACAACAATGATCATCATCATCATCGTTATTATATCATCATCATCATCGTCATCGTCATTATCATCATCATCATCATCATCAACGTCATTATCATCGTTATTATCATCTTCATAATCATTGTTGTCATCATTATCGTCATCATCTTTATCATCATCATTGTCATCATCATCGTCATCGTCATCGTCATTGTCATCATCATCATCATTGTCATTGCTATCGTTATCGTCATCGTCATCGTCATTATCATCATGATCATGATCATGATCATGATGATCATCATCATCGTCATCATCACTGTCATCATAATCGTCATCGTCATTGTCATCATCATCATCATCATCATCGTCATCATCATCATGATCATTATCATTGTCATCATCGTTATCATTATCGTCATCATCATCATCATCATCGTCATCATCATCATCATCATCATCATTGTATGAGGCGCTATCTATCTATTACACTAGGTAGACCTTCCAATAGGGCAGTCGTGGTGTGTTTTATACGAATTGTATGAACTCAGTCTCCTAAAAGAACGTACTACTTAGGGTAGGTGGTGGTATGGGACTCTATCTATCAATTGCACTAAGTAGACCTTCTAAAAGGGGAGTATTGGTTTGTGTTATATGAAGTGTATGAGTGAGATATCATGTATTGGAAATGAATTTAGAAGACGTAAGATCTAATGTTAAGGAAGCATCTTAAATTTATGTTTTATGCAATGAAGTTATGAATGTCTAATGTAGTGTGCTTTATGCAAGGGAATACTCAAGGATCACTAAGTGGGAGTAGTAGTATGGGTTGCTACTCTCACATTGCACTTATTGTAACTTACAAGTCTCATTGGAGTAGGGCACTTAAATGAAGTTCTTAATGTATGAATGTTCTTGTAATGTCACTTCTAGAGTGTGGATTTGTTTCCCGTGCAAGCTAAGCCTATGCTTGGTTTTCCTAAGGGTCACTTAGGTGTGTGTTGAAGGGGGTGTATGGGCGGTTCCTTCATGTCTTACCCTAGTGAGAATTGGGATAACTTGGTTAAGGAAGCTTCAAATGAAATATTTCACTAAGTTGTGGTTGAATGGATTCTTTGTAATGTAATATGTGTTCATTATAAATCTATATGTTTACTGAAAAAAAGTGTTTTGGTTCTAAAATTATGAGAGTTCTATTTTAAGTGATAAATGATGATGCTATTACTACTTTAACTCTAAAATCATGAAGTTTTACTTATTTGGCATGAAATATTATTTTACTAAGATGTCTCTTTTCGCATGTTTTAGCATATGTCATACTTAGTATATCATTTTGTAATAACTCCATACTTTTATATACTCTATAAGTATAGGTTGGAGGCAAGCAAGAAGTTTAGAAGGCAAAGCTTGGGAATCTATCCTCTCAAGACTAAGTATATCCTTATATATTTGAGGGCATAGTTATAAATCTTAGTTTCTATCGTTAAGACTTATTATGTATTTTCTTTTAATGTAAAGGGACGTGTCCCTAAGATATTTATGTCGTGTCTTTAAGTTATCTTTTGAAGATGAGATCAGTCCTTAGCTTTTATGAAAGATATTTCTTTTTTATTAATATATTTGTGAAATGTTTTAATTCTACACAACTTTTAATGTCTTATGTAATGAATGATAGCTAATGCTTTTTCAAGAACTCCGAAAGGTGAAGTACGCTATTGTTCCGACCTATGGGTTCTCCCTTCTTCTAGGGGGTACTTTCAGGTTGTTACAGGTTGACCAAAAAGGTAGTGGAGACCAAGATCCAATAAAGAAGGAAGGATAAATACATCCCACCTCATGAGTGAAAAAGAACTAAGGACAACGAGGGCCAGCGCTCGGGAGATATGCTCACAATCATTCTTCCGGGTGAGAAACGAGATAAACGAGAATATTGAAGTGATGAACCAGATGATTGGTCCCTATTCCAGATCTATCCGAACGCTTGACAACGTTGTGAATTATTAATTACCTCATCTATATCCAATCTGTCAATTAGGGTTACCTAGTACTACTAGGGACAACCCCAATAAGGGATAGTAAGGAGATACATTGTGCCACAACACTAACTAAGGCACTGTTTGGGAGGCAACCCGAAAACCTTTTTATTACATTTTGTCTGTTTAAAAATAATGGTGTGTTTGTTGTGCAGGCTAAAATGTGGCAAGTGTGAGGAACAAAGGAGTTTAGTAAAGAAACAAGTTATAGTCGGTTTATCACTGAAGATGTCAGCGACCCCGATATAGACCACCATTGGACTCAAGACATGATTAAGCTAGAGTCTGTAATACTCGGTGAGCCTAAGAAATTATCAGCGCATTGCAAACCTATTTGCCAATTCCAATATTTATCTCCATTTTTATTTCCAAAATTCATTGAAGATTTGATAAAACTCAACAAGGTTAATGAATTTTCGGAGCTTCATCAATATGTTTTGAGACCAAAGCTAATGTCACAGAATGGGTGAGAACTGGATGGTTTTTGCAATCAAAGTTTTCAACTTCTCAAACTCTTTAAAATTCCCTCACTTAAAATTCTTCAAACTCACACCTCCATCACTACGTTTATATCTCTGCAACATTATTATATTTTTGTTTTTGAGTTTTAGGTATTTAAAGTTGGAGATAGTGGTATGGACATAATCGAGAAAAAAGGAATGAAGGTTTTTAAAAGATCGAAGAAGTGAAGGCCTGAGAATTTGACGGACACCATCAACAATTTTTGAAAGGGTCATATCCTCGCCTAATTACTAGTGATCTAAGACATGAAGGAAATGATCAAATCTGTATTGAAGAGGAGCAGTCAGTGTAACAATGAAAAGCTCCTAAAAAATACTATGTCTCCCAATGATCTAAAACGCAAAAATGCTTAAGACTAACGCAGGATGGCGATGACTATACCAAAGGGAGGACTGTGGAATTTATCGGCGATCCTAACTAACTGAGTGTTCCTTCACAACAGAGCCTAACTAACTGAGTGTTCCTTCACAACAGAGTATTTGAAAACTATAAATACTTGGTAATATTGGTATCTTAGAATCGAATTTTGTAGTTTTGAAGAGTAATTTCAAACTTACCTTCTATTTTCAAAGATTTTGGGAGACTTTGATCTTGAACCTTGGAGATTTGAAGATTCCCAACTTGAAGAAATTCAAAGTGGGTGTTGGAAATTCTTCATTGTAGACTTAATTGAAGTGAATATAAAATTACATCTAGTTGATGTTATCTCAATTTTGTATTATTTTCTTCCTTTTTTCTATGTCTAGCTAACACCCCAACTATTGAGGTGTGATTTTTTAGATATGAGTTAAATCTATTGTTGGGTGTTACTTATTGTTAGTTTATTCATTTTTTGAATGAGATTTCATTTAGTAGTAGTGTTTGAACTAAATGAGGTTGTGGTTGAAAATATGATTTCACCTTAGCGTTTTTGGCTTGCTCAAGAGAGCGATTTTAAAACTAAGACTACTAAATTGATAGCCGATGGTGATTTGGTCGTCATGGGTTCATTTCAAGAAAGTGAATCCTAGTCCCTCTTTCACACTTTCAGCTCGAGAGAGTGACTGTGATAAGGCAGATGCGGTGCTTAAAGGATGCAACTTGATGTTTGAGAGAAACCGAGTTGATTCGGATATGTTTCTCGAGAGATAATGTACCCCACAAAAGTCTAGCCTAGTTGCATATAATCAACGATGTACTATCAATATCAATTACCCTACGATGTCTTTTATCTCATATTTTATTCACATCCCAAGAATCCTGTTTCCCTATTAGCTTCTCTTGTTTATACTGTTATTAGTTGTTAATTTGATGCAAAACCTTCTATAGTTAATTGACACTCGTGTCACCCCCTCTAATTTACGATGTTTTTATTTGATAATTTCACATAGCTATGATGTTCATGATTTAATTTGTGCTTAGATGAAATATTCCCTAAATCACTCCTTGTGTGAATGATTCCAATCCTTGGTTGGATTATATACTGACTTACGATCATCAACGAGTAGTATTGGATCAAGTGTCTTTGATGGTGTTGATAAAAATGGAACCGCTGTCGAGGAGTGGTGTTATTTGAGAACTTTTAGTTAAGGAAAAAAATTTCTTGCTAATTGTGGTTCACTTTCTTAATTTTCAATCTTGTTTTTCTTGTTGTGCTCTGAGGCTTAGGAGGTGAGTATATCGAAAGGCATTTGCGAACAAATAGAGTTTCCTTCATTAGAATTAATGATGTTCGATTACCTTCGAAAAATTTGTAGCTGAAAGGATCCATGAGTCATGGTCAAGATTTTAAAAACTAATAACTCAATGGCCAAATCATGACATTCCCGACAAAGTCCTCCTTTTGTGTTTCTAGAGAAGTATTGGTCCAAGAACAAGGGTTCTAGCCGACCAACTCATTTTGGGAAGTGTAACACAACCGCATGTAAGAGTAGCTCAATTTCTTGATCATACGGATGAAAACATCCAGTACATAGAAAAGGACTTCATCTTGTCCTTACTAATAACTTAGATTGATGAGTTAACCACAAAGGTAATGTTGACCGCGGTGTAATGTAGAAAGAAGGATAAATACATCTCACCTCATGAGCAAAAAAAAGAGCTAAGGAAGACGAGCGCCAACACGTGGAAGGTATGAACTCCATGAGGTTATAGCTGCCCTCATTATCTATTTGAACACCATGGGTTAAAGGAGACATTTTGTGACTCTATGCCTTCAATTTTTCCCACACCCCAATTTAGGCTTTTCACTTAAGTTGTCTATTCAATTAACAACAAATCAAAAGGATTATAGGTAGAGGATTAAGAGAGGTCATGTTTTCATAAAGTTTTACCAAAACAAAGGTAAGTCTCAAGGGGTTTTCAAAAGAGGTTCGCACACCCACAATGTAAGACTCAAAAGAGGTATATGTCAAATTATTTCACACTCTTTCAACATTTCCTAAAATCATATCTAGAGTGCACATCAGTTAGTCAACCAAACTAACGAGTGAGATTCTAGATGTCATCATGCATGTTTCATGGTAAGATCATCACAGAATGCACTGACATTAATGTCAAATAAGACTCCACTTGTTTGCAACTGACATTAAATGTTCTTTCTTCAAGTAGTTGTTTTTGAACTCAATGAGGTTGTAGCTGCAAATATGATTTCACATTAGTGTTTTTGGCTTTTCAGAGAAAGATGTTTTAAAACTAAGAGAACTAAATTGATAGCCGATGGTTATTGGGTCGTCATGGGTTAATTTCGAGAGAGGGAATCCTAGTCCCTTTCCCACACTTTCAGCTCAAAAGGATGATTGGGATAAGGCGGAGGCTGTACTTAAAGGATATAACTTGCTTTTTCAGAGAAATCGAGTTGATTTGGGTTATGTTGCTCAAGAGAGAATTCACCCCAGTAAAGTCTACCTAGTTACATATATTCAGTGATATACTATCAAGAGCAATTACTCTATGATGTATTTTATGTTATATCCCAAAAATCACATTTCCGCATTAGTTTCTCTTCTTTTACTATTTTTAGATGTTATTTTGATTGCAAAACTCCCCATTGTTAATTGACACTTGTGTCACCCCCTCTAATTTACTATGTTTTTATCGATAATTTTTTGTAGCCATGACTAGAATAACTTAATTTGTTCTTAGAAGAAATATTCTCAAAAACACTCGTGGTGGGAACGATTCCAACCCTTGGTTGGGTTATGTACTTAGTAATGATCGTCGATGCTTAGTATTGGATGAAGTTTCTTTGATGATATTGATCCTCATACCATACATTAAATAAGGTTTTTCTTGGAAGAAAACTTAATTTTAGTTTATGTTATTTGAATAATGGTTGTTGGATGTGTAGGTTGTAAATTTAACATTTGGGAGAAATAGGTGATCGGGCGAACTCATAACTAACTTGACAATATTCTGAGTGGTTCGACAAATCACTGAGAGGACCAGCGAGCTCAGTGTGGATTACCTTTTTGACTAACCAAATGATTGGACTTATGGTAACTTTAGCAGGTAATATTTTATCCATCGCATCACCGAGTGGATCAGCGACATAGGTGTCCATCGGCAACACAAGCACAAATTGAAGAATCAAAAGGCTTCTAACCATTTTAAATTGAAAACGTCTTCTTCTTTTGAACTTTTATACCCTTTTACTATCTCAAATTCATTTTAAATATTAGATTATTAAATTATTACACGGGTATTATTGTCTGTTTGGAATCCACTACTTTGTTTTTCTTTGTTTTTGACCTCGGTGTTCATTTGTCTATTTATAAGGTTGGTTATCCGAATGAACTTTTATTTCATGTCGGGTTTTTAGCGTGCTTCTTCTTTGTTATTGAATCAATAGTATTTTTTGTGTGACTAATTGATTTTGAATTATGGATTCTTATCAAACTTTTTGGATATAGTGTTTATCCTAACGTAGTTTGAAATCTCCTTTAAAATTGCTTTAAAATTGTGAGTTTTTGGGTATGAATGTCGGGCCCTCTGTGTCTGAAGTCTGAGGAACCCGGATTGCACTAAAAAACATAATTTTCTCTATGATAGATTGGGTGACATTGTTCTTAAGGGCAAAAATCCTTGCTTGATTTATTCTAGGTAATTTTGGGAAATCATAAATTAGGGCTGGTAATGATGTGGGCTAGGAATGAATTGGATAAAAATGGGGATTTAGTTAATTTATAATTGATTATGCGATGAAAATTGGGGGTCGAAGTACAACTCTAGTATGATAGGCCATTAGGAGAGCTTAGTCACGCTCACCAATAACTCGGCGGTTCGCCAACTGGTTCCTTTCATTGACTTTTTTCCTTGAATATAGTTGTCATCTTCTGTAACATTCGATGATACAAATGTGTTTACTTATTTGACTTGACAACTCATCGAATGCTTTATTTCTCACCCTTTTGAAGCTAGTTTTTGGTATTTACTCTCTAAAATTCAGCGAGTCACATTTGGAGAACCGATCAAGTTTGATGACTCACCAAATAAGCTTTGTCAACATCATTTTATGTTGAATTTCTTACCTTTTGATCTATAAATGAGTTCGGTGACTCTCCGAGTGGGTCGATATTTTTTGTTGGTTCTTGTTTGCAAGATTGATTTAGTAATCCTTTGCAACTACATTATATATGTGTTGTTTTGCAGATATGGCTAGACCAAAGGTTCTTGAAAAGAGTATATTACCTTAGAAGAGAGTTAAAGGGGTGGTTATTACAATGGAGATTGCTCCTCCAATATCAGCGATACCAAAACTTCCTCCGACATGGGGAAAATATACAAAAAAAATGGTAAGAAACTTGTGGAGCTAAGTTCCAACTGTTGCAGCTTGGACAACATGGGTGTCTACTCCAACCCTCACTTATTCTAATTCTTAATTTGGGGAATAAGTTGGGTCTAGGACTCCAGTCTATGAGTCCGAACTAGCTGATGATAAAACCCTTAAATGGAGACAAGCTGAGTTGCACTCAAAAACTCTATATGATCTCAAAAAAGTCTCGACACTCCCGACTAATTCACCACCTCCAACAAAGGAAAAAAACCTAGGCACTAGAAGTGCTCCTATCCCAAAAACCTTCACTATGATCGATGAACAAGTTAAATGCTGCCAGTTTGAGAATAATTTTGGAAGAAAAGAGGTTTTCCACCAATGGGGTAGTAGACAAGTATCCTTCTACGTGGTACATGATCATTTTCCACAAATTTGAGTGGTTTATAGAACCCCAAAGCCCATATGTACCTTCTTAGGTTTTTAATTATATGAGGGGTATGAGAAATTGATCCAAAAAGGCAAGGAGAAGGACAACTCTTCAAGAATAATTTATTGTATTGTAGTGCGGGGTAAGAAGGTCAAGTGCAGCATAAATATAATGAGGTATTAGATTTCATAGTATTGACAATCCAAATCTTTGTGGACAAGATCTAGAAGAAGTCTCTCAATAATCTTAAGGGGTGGTTATCCCCCTCGATCTCTAATATCACACATCTGTGGATTCAGCCTGCGGTCCAAATTGAGAAAAACATGAACATCGCTGGTAGATATTTTTTTGGGTTCATCAGCAGAGCACTCATGCCCCTGACAAAATGAGTCTATCCTCTGCCATACAAAGGATACTCTTTAGAGGATTTGTTTTGAGAAGGATAGACAAAATCTCAGGCTGATTATCGAGAATGATATGGTCATAAAGGCCAAGAAGATCCATACCTCACTACCATTCCTTGTG